ACTGCACTGGGCAGTGCTGCTACTCCTCGTACACGTCGCGGCCAGACATGCAATGTGGGACGCCACGACAGAGCTGCTGGTTTCAGATCGGAAGGGAGCTGTGTGTTCCTGAGCGCGCTCAGCTTTCGCTCCCCAGGCTTATCTTGGCCTTGGCACAGGCCATCTTCAAATTTGACTTGGATGACGAATTCAAGCTGGGCGTCCTCCGGCACCGCCTCATCAAGGAGAACGATGCGATGGATATACTCATGTCTGATGAAACCACAGACAACTTTCAGAAAACAGAGGTCGAACACATCGAGATGGTGCCGAGCCAGAAGGCTGCAGAGAACGAGGTCGTGGATAGCATCAACAAACGAAGTACTTGGATGAGAAGTCCAAGGGTGCTGCCTGGGCGAAGGTGAAGGCGAAGCCAGTTGCTAGACTAAAAGGGCCCGGCAGAGGACGGGCGGGCAAGGGTGAGCCGATCGCCGATGAGGAGGAGGCTCCTGGCGAGAAGAAACCGAGAACATACCCACCTGCGGTCGCGTTCGAGGGCGACGGTGCAGCGACCGATGAGCTGATTGAAGAGTTGTGCCCCCTGTGGGAGCACAGTCGCGGCCGACACTTTGGGCCAGGGGCGGAGGGTGTCTTACGGAGGCGCCCGCAGGTTCAAGGCATGGAACCTATGCGGTGGCAGGGCTGGCGCAGCGAACGAGATCGTCAGAGCTGCCTGGGAGGTGGCTTTGAAGGGCGGGCATGAGAGCATGTACCCATTCGATGAAGCCAAGCTCCTCTGACTGTGCTCTTTCGTTGGCCGTCAGGCCCTTGGATGCGCGCAGGTGGTGACAATGGCGCACGGGCCCCAAACAGTGGGTAACAAGCTGCATCCACCAAGTTCCCTACTTCAGTGCAAGCAAGAATTCTATGTGCAAGCGCTGGTTGGGGGAACGGCAGGCAATAGGATGATGGAGGTGGAAGAGGAGAAAAGGGGCAAACAGGAGCGGGGAGGAAGAAGTGCCGGGGAGGCCGGGTAGGAGGGGGGATGAGAAACACCAGGGCGAGAGGGATACACGCACCACGCACTGGGCAGAATGAACTGGCGAGCCAGCAGTTTTTTCCATTTTGTCGCGTCCAGCTAGCACAGGCAATACTGTGGGTCAATAGCTTTATTGCGATTCCTTGTGCTCGGGCAATCTCTAGCACGGTGACGTCGCGCTGAGTTCAAGCACTAGCCAGGCCATCGCATATTTCACAACCGCATGTTTGCACTGAAATTGCATCAGTTGGCAATGCGTCTCGCTTCTGCTGAATGGGGTCCACGCGCTGCAGTTGTTCGCACAACTCTGCGAGCGACCACCTCGGGTCTGGAAGCAACTGGGCGGCCTGGCTAAGATGTGCATGTTTGTTAGCTGGAACGCGAAGAAGGGATCGCGAACGACTTGCGCGACCCCTTATGCCAATGGCAGCTAACTTGTCAATGGCATGACATGTGCCTCATGTTTTCTCTTGACCGTCACTTGTTGCCGCGCTCGCACAAAGGTTTAGTGGGCGAGAGTTGCCGGGGAGCGTGCTAGGAGCATTATTGTCTGCAGTGCGTTTCCCTCTCGGCATCCTGATCGTTCACCATATGGCACAGTGGATGGGATAGTTGAGGAGTAATGTGCACGATATTGCTACGCGTTTGCGCGGCAGGCTGCGGCACCGTACAGCTTTGGCTGGAGGTTGCACGCATGGCCGACCAGGTCTTAAGGCTGTTCGGGTGTGCCCAACGCCATACGCCGCGGCTCATACATTCGGGAAGCCATTGATTTCGAACGTGGAGAAGGGTCGAACACCGAGGAGATAGGTTCGATGAGATTTTGGGATTGTGTGTTGAGCGTCTTGGGAGGTTCTGGGGAATCCTCGTGTTCCTCCTCCTCCTCCAAATCCTCCTCCTCATCCTAATCCTCATTCGTCCTTCTCGGTCCCTCATTTTCCTCCTCCGCTTCATCGTCAGACACGTCCTCCTCCGTCATCGTTGCCGACGTCGCTTTGGTTGTGCTGTTCCTAATCCTCGTGTTCATCCTGATCATCATTTTCCTCTCCTTCCCCTCCTCCCCCCTCCTCTCCCTCCCCTCCCTCCTCCCTCCTCCTCCTCTCCGCTGCTCTCCTCGTCTTCCTCCTGCACCTCCAGCGGTGCGTTGACTATCTGGTAGTCGCGCAGTTGACACCCCTGCGCGTAGGATCCTTGCCTTTCCATGGCTCTGCACCCTAGCTATCAATTATTTTTATGTGTTTTTGTCTTACGGTTTGTCCCCTGCCTAAGTTGGTCGCGCCGATGGCGCTCGACGGCTTCGAGGCGGCTGACGACGGCGGCCTCGACGACTCCAGGGCTGACGCGCCGCCGCGGCGGCGGCGCGGGAGGCAGAGGGGGCCGGTTGCCTCTGGAGCGGGGGGCGGGGCCCCTGGCCCTGCCGTTGCGGCGGAGGCGCCTGCTGCTGGGGCTGGCGCCGCTAGGCCACCGCCATCCTCGAGGCTCTCGGCCAGCCAGTCGCCGTGGTGGACGAACGCGACCCCTCCTCAGTCCACGAAGCGGTCGCCACGCTGGAGCCAGTCTGCCTGCGGACGGCCCAGGAGGTTGGCGGCGCGGGCGCGGACGCTGCGGTGAGTACGCATTCGGGGTCAGTACCCGCACCGCCGCGACCCTTCGGGCCAGAGCGCCTAGGGGAGCACGCGGCGGCGGGCCCCGCGCCCTAGGCGCTCGGCGGCCTCGCTGTCCGCGCGGGCGGCGGACGCCCCTTGCCCTCGTCGTCCTCGGTTTCGCGTTCGAGGTCGTGGCCAGCTTCGGCGACAGGGGATACGGTGGGCTGGCCCTTTTTGGGGGTCGGCACGGCCAGGAGGATGCTTTGCTGGGGCGCTCCTGGTGACGCCGCAAACCATGGCTCTCGAGAGCGAACGGTGCGTGCAGCGCGCATCCCGCCGATCATGGGAAAAGTTCACATGCCAGCGTTCGCATGCGCCCACCGTGCCCATGTTGGGACACCCCTCGCACGTTTCGCCGCCCCAGAGGGAGCTCCACCGAAGGCCCAAATGCCAGCGTTCGCAGTCGCCCACCGCACCTGTTGGCACACCCCTCACATGTTCCGTGGCCCCGAAAGGAGCTCCACCGAACACAGTGCATACAACGACGGTGCCCACAACTGCATATGGTTGGGTCTTACGCCGAGCTAATTTGCGCATGGTGGCACAAGCTTGCAGACGCCTCCCCAGCCTCCAGCAGGGAGCCCGAAGGAGCGTGGTCAGGCTCTGGCAAGGTGGAGTCGGGCAAGCCTTTCAAGGGCAAACAAAAACAACAGGTGGACACGGCGGCGGCGAAGGCGAAAGTGAGTGCGAAGGCGGCCCCCCGCTTCCTTTCGTTGCAGAGGTTCAGTTCATGGTGTCTCAACGGATGTGAGTCCCGACATGGGGTCAAGGCGCTGCAGCCGCTCTGCATCGTTTTGGAGATAGCGGGTGGCAAGCCGGGTGTTGTCAGGCACCACCGTTTTGTTTCCCAAGGGAGGCAGAAGGCGGCTGCTGATGCAGCGTATGTGGTGCCCTTGTGGCAGCGTGCATCATCAGCCACAAACACGTGAGGATCGAGAATCGAAGGATGATCGAGCATCGGGAGTTCGAGGATCGAATGATCGAGGATCGGTCGGAAGATCTATGTTGGCCAGACTCCCACCTTCACTTCCCCTCCCCCCTTCGGGGCTCGAGCGCGGGAGGGCGAGGATGAGGAGGAGGAGGCCGTGCCTCTCGGGAGGCGGGGGGAGGAGGAAGGGAAAGAGGGGCGTGTTTTTTCTCACGCGTGCAGGAGGAGGAGCAGCAGCACAGGAGGAGGCATGAGGAGGAGGAGCTGCTGACATCCAGGATGAGGAGGAAAAGCACGGAGAATGTTTCAAGCCCCGCGATGTGTGGGTGTGTGTGTGTGTGTGAAACCAGCGATGTGTGTTTCCAGCTTTCGTTTGTCCCCCGCTGGCCTGTGCACGATTCGCCCAGCAGCCCCCGCTTGGGCTACGGACGCGATGCTCGGTCGTCACCGCTGCGACGACAATCTGTGCTGCTTCCTGGCAGGCCACCCACGGAGGGGGCGCAGACAGCCCACGCTCCGCGGCGATGGGCATCGGGGCAGCCGCACCCTCTCCAGCCCTCTCCAGGAAGGGCGCCGCGAGAGCGCGGGGATGAACGCACAGCGCGAAGCGCGGACCGCGGAGCGCGAGGCCACCCCCTCGGAGGCGGAAAAGATGTCGATGCCGCTGCTCGTCCTGGGAGGCCCTCGTCGCCACGGCTGTGTTCTCCTCGGATCGGACGCCTGGATTATCCAGGATGGTTGCGGTCCGGGTGAACTCTGGTTTGGCCCCCCGAGGCGCGAATCTGCAGCTACCCCTGACCGCCCCCAGCCCTGATGACTCGGGAGGTTTGGGCGTCCAAATTTTCCAGGATAATTGCGGTCCGGCGTAACTCCAGATTGGGCTTTCGAGGCGCGAAATTGTGGTTACTTTTGACCGCCCCCAGCCCTAATGGTTCGGAGCTCCGATCGGACTCCTGGGTAGAAGGCACCCCAGGAGAGGCCCAAGGAGCAGCGATATGGGCCTCTGTGTCCCCCCAAATTCCAGCCAGGATCGAGGGCGCGCAACACGGGTGGCCTTCTGAGCGGGCGGGGGTCATCAAAACAGGGCATGGAAGACTGTACGAAACCGTTCCAACAGTTTTGGGGGGTTATTCTGAGAATATCCTATCTGTCGTAACAAGTGTTCTGCATTCTCGGAAGCTCGGCCACCTCGCGCTGACGCCCTGCGTGCGCGCCGCCAACCTATACACCAGTCAAGGGGGCCCAGGACGGGCCTGACGAGGGGTGGGGGTGCTGGTGCAGAATTTCCGTCTCCCAAGACGGAGGGTTGACCTCAATTCGTTTCTGTTCCCGTTATATCAGTTCTGGAAGATGAGGCTCCCTCCACTTTGGAGGCCTTGGGATGTAGCCTGTGGTCCTGCTCCTGCGCAGTATGTAGCCGTTTGGGCCCAAGCTCATGGCTCGAGGCACAGTGTCGCCAGCGCTGCTTCCGACGCCAAGAGCGTCTGCGAAAGGGCCTGGGCGGCGATGAGGGACGTGGGGGCTCTCAATGATAGCGACGCGGAGGCGCTGCTGGGCACCCAGGAGTCGGCCCCAGCTGGTCAGCACAGGAGGACCGAAACCACCCGCCAGGGCTGCTTGTGCACTCGCACGACCGCGCTTGGCGCAGCGGCGATGGGGCTGATAGCGGTGGCGGCGGCCGCGGCATTGACGGGCGCTAAGCTCGGCATGTTCTCCCAGTGGCCATTGACGTCGCAAGCCACGGGGCAGCCCGAGAAGAGGACGAGAGCCCTCCGGCGGTGGTCGCCCATCGTTCCTGCCGTGGACCGGAAGATGTTGGTGGATGCCAGGCCGCGTGTTTGCACCGCTGTCTCCAGGAAGGACATCCTCGGCGACACGGTCGAAAGAAACGCCAGTGAGGACGCAGACAGTTGCCTCAAGCGCTGCCGCAAGAATCCCGATTGCGGCTGCTACGCGTTCGACCCGAGCCGCCACGGGTCTTGCTGGCTCAAGAGGATCGGGTCGGACGAAAGGGGAGGTTTTGGAAAAGGGGGGCTTACGAATTCTGCTGCACGCAGCTGGTTTCGGCCCCGCCGCCAGGCGCTTTCCTGGGTACATTGGCGCCTGCGGCGCCAGGAGGTGCTGAGAAAAGCATCTGCGTGAGCTGATTCGCCAACCCTCCTTTGGTATCGCCCCCACTCGTCTGCCCCGAGAGGAGCCCCTGCAACGAGCTCTACACTGGGAGTGAGACCGACGGCATGACTGCGGGGACCTGCCGCGAGAGCCGTCCGCGGGTGTGCACCAGCGTCTTTGGCAAGGACATCATGGCAGACGTGATGGTCAGGGGCGGCAAAGAGCAGAAGTTCTACGGTGACGACGCCGTTGCGTGCCGCCAGCGTTGCGAGAAGACCGATGGCTGCAACGGCTACGCGTTCGACCCCAGCTCGGGCGACGTCAACTGACCACCGCACCGATCCCGGCCGAGCCCATCCAGGACCCAGGATCGGTGTGTACGCCCTCCTGACTTGGCCAGGGAGGCACACCACACCGGTCCTGGGCCCAGGCTGGGCCTGGACAGGAGTGGTAAGGTGGTCAGTCGATGTCGCCCGGCCAGCCGAGACAAGATTTGCTGGCTCAAGGGTGGTGCTTGCGACCAGTTCTACGAATGGGGCGAGGCCGCCGACATGATCAGCGGAACCTGTCGTGAGCAGCGGCCCGTGTTCGATTGGCCGACGAGCTCCCAGCCTGACGATGACGATGGGGGTAAGTTAGGGGAGGATGTCCTCGACGAAGGCCATGGGGCCACCCGCCGGATCTGCTCAACCGTGACCGGAAAGGACATCATTGGCGCCGAAGCGGTTGAAGACGGCGCGGGTGGGGTGTATCGGGATTCCACGGCGAGTTCGTGCAGGAGCCGCTGCAGAAGCATGCCGGCCTGCAAGTGCTATTCGTTCGACCCAAGCCGCGACAACACGTGTTGGTTGAAGAAAGGCCCGTGCGACGGGGGCCACATCGCATGGCCAGAGACAGGCGACATGGTGTCTGGGACTTGCCGGCTGGGGAGACCTCTCCTCGATTGGCCACTGCGCGCCTCCAGCAGAGAGGCAGGCTTGTTGGAGAGGTTCCGAGTGGTCGCGGGCGCCGAGAACGACACGGTCGGCCTGCTCAGCCACCACGGCACCTACGTCACAGCCCAGAGCGATGGTTCCGTCACCGTGGACGGCGACAGCATGGGCGAATGGGAGACGTTCGAGGAGGTGTGGCTCCCGAGCGGCCGCGTCGCCTTTAGGAGCTTCCACGGCGGCTTCCTCGCGCCCACCCAGGACGGCACGGTAACGGCAAGCGCGAAGGGGTCTGGCGACCAGGAGTCGTTCAGGGTTGAGGAGCACACGGACGACGAGAGCATCTCGCTACAGACCGTGTGGGGCACTTTCCTGACGGCCGTTCGCCTGGGCGCGGCCGGGAAGGTGCGGCTCCGGGGCGACCGGGAGGCGGTAGGCAGCTGGGCCACTTTCATCCTGCGTGCGAAGCAGCAAGAGGGCCGGACGCTACTCCTCGGTGACGGCTGGTTTGGCAGCACGGTGACGTTGCAGTCGTATTTGGGCACCTACGTCGGGGTCGGTCTCGACGGGGAGGTCACGGTCAGCACTCAAGGAAGCGACGTAGGCCGTTGTGAAGAGTTCAAGCTGGTGGACGGAGGTGAGGACGGTATCGCCCTGCAGACTTGCAAGGGCACGTTCCTGGGCGCCCGGCCAGACGGCGATGTGGTCGCAGACGAGATGGAGGCGGGTGAGTGGGAGCACTTCAACATCGAGACCGTGGACAGCAAGATCTTCTTCAGTGTGTTGGACTTGCCCGTGGCGAAGCTCGGAAACCTGACGGGGGAGAACCTGAGGCTGTCCAGGCTGGATCCAGACTTGGTGCCTCGTAGAATGCCCCAGCCAGTCGTCCTGAAGACGATACATGGTGGGTATCTCTTCCCCCTGGAGCAGGCCAAGAGGGCTTCCGATGAGATGGTGCCCTCGAATGACACGCGATCAACTCAAGCGATGATCTTCACGCGCACTTGCGAAAACAGTGGGCTGTTGCCCATTGCCGACCGGAGCGCTTGCGAGGCAGCCGCGACCAGCACCGGCTTAGTGAAGGTCGGGGCTGACGTCGACGTCAAGATCGTCAAAGACATCGGGGTCCCAGAGGGGTGTTATGTGGAGAATCGAACCCACTTCCGCCTCGGCACGAACCCCAGCAACCAGGGCATGGGGGTGGTGCACGGAAAGGACGGCGCAGTCATGCGCCCCCTTTGCGCTGGGGCTTGCCCGAAGTGCGCTATGTCCGAGCCGACGGCGCCCGCACTCGTGATCCCCTTCAACGAGCGCGACCTATGCAAGATGCGCCTCTTGGCCTCGTCGCTCACGAAGCATGACCCCAACCAGCTGATCAGCACAGTGCACCTCGTATGGTACTCGAGTCATCCCCCTACTAGTAACGATTTCATGAGGGACATCGACTCAATCCGCAACGCCGCCTCGGCATCGCACACCGTGCGGTTCCACGACATGTCGTGGATGTTCGTGGATGCCGTGTTGTCAAGTATGCATGTGCAGCAGATTGTGAAGTTGAAGGCTGCCAGCTGGGTCGAGGAGGACTACTACGTCGTGCTCGGCGCCAAGGACGCGTTCATCCGTGATGTGCAGCCAGACACATTCTTGACGCCCTGCTACCAGGGCAGAGTGTTCTCGGACACTGACTTTGACGACCTGAGCGCAGACGCGCAGAAGTCGTATCATGCATCGGCCACAGTCCTCGGCGTCGACGTCCCTCCAGGCCGCAAGTGGTCTGCCTCGATCAACCCTGTGGTGATGCACACAGAGACGGTGATCGACATGCTGAACTACCTACATGAGGACCCGAGCCCGCTGTCCCTGTGCAGCGGCACGCTGTGTGGGCACCTCAAGGGCGGCGCCACCGAGTTCACCCTGTACTACCTGTACGCTGCCACCAAGACAGACGAGAAGTGCATCCACCAGGACTCGTCGCATAGCCCAGCGGTCTCAATGCTGCGGGACACGGTCGAGTTGAATGACGGGAAGGTGAATGCGGCTGTCAGCGACGCCGAGGTCATTCTCTTCGGCGCCCAGTCTGGGGCGCTGTCGGGTATGGCTAGCGATGTGAGCCAGAGGATCTCGAGCCACCTACAGGACATTTTCGAGGGAGCTGGCGTCCACGACCCCTCGGCTCACAGCGCAGACGCCATGGCAGCATGCGTGGTAGGCGGCTGATCGGCACGTGCGCCCTCGTAGATCTTGGGTGCATTGATTGGTTGTGCAGTTGGGCAGGAGCACGTCGACCTCCCAGACTCGGCGATTGGTCTGCGTGCCTGTGTTCTGTCGCGTGCGGTTGGCCGGCCGAGACAGCCCCGCAGGGGCATCTTGGCGCTGACCGCCAGCAAGCCGATTGCATGAATGCCTCGTGGCGCCGCGGTTGTGCCTGCACTGCGCGGACGCCCTCTGCGCCAACGATGCGCGGAGGCGGCCGGGAGGGGCGGCGCACACCAGCCTCCGAGGCCGGCGGCCAACAAAAGGGTGCAGCGGAAGGGGGGGCGGCCTTCTGAGAGGGCCCAAGCCCAAAAGGGATTCGACTACACTTGGGAGTGACCTTTCGCAGGGGTGACCTTCGGTTGGTGCCGGCGCACGGGGGTCCCCAGATCATTGAACGCGATGCGATAGCAGCGTTTTGCGCGCTCGGGTTTGGCCGCCCCGCGGCCCCCGAAAGTCGCGCACCAAAGGTCACTCTTGCCTGTAAGGTCACTCTTGCGTGTGGCCGAGGGATCGGGCCCTCCCATGGCAGACATAAGCCCCGCACCTTTCCAGGAAGCGGTCGGCCTCGCTCCCCGCGCCCTTCCAGGAGGCGGTCCCCCGCGCCTTTCCAGAAGGCCGCGCCCGCCCCTCCGTCGTACCCCCTTCTGCGCTCCGGCAAGGCACGGCGATTGTCGGCACGCCTTCCCTGCGCCAAACAAAAAGTGGGGAGGCGGCCAGCGACCTCCGTGCGTGCAGCGACGTGCACGGCTGGGCGCGCTCCTTCGGCGAAGATCTTGCACTTCTCGGGCTCACCTTTCTCCTCCTGCTCCTCCTCCTCCTCCTCCTCCTCCTCCTCCTCCTCCTCCTCCTCCTCCTCCTCCTCCTCCTCCTCCTCACACCCAGAGCCAGAGGCCTGCTTCCACATGTCGGACATTTATTTCGCCTCACTTGGAGCAGTCACCACCTTTTTTCTGGCACCTACGTGTTACCTGTGCCCTGCTTATGGCAGTTACGCCGTACTCACGACGCCTCACAACTGCACGGAAGTTCGGAGCGGGCGAGCCAGCATCCCTTGTCGTGATGGTTTCGCGTCCAGAGTCTTCGGAGTTGATAGGCCATTCGAGATCCGACATGTCGGAGGAAAGTAGAAGGCAGGTAGTGCCCACAGAGGGGAATCAAAACACGAGGGCGGACACAATTTACAATTTTGGACGCGCCGGGCCGGGGTCGTGGCGTAGGGACCAAGGTGGCCACTGGCCCACACCAGCAAGCAGCCTTGCGCAATGGGGTCGACCACGAAGCATCTCCCTGGAGCCTGGCCCCGGGCGTCTCGCAGGCGTGCAGTGAGGGTGTTCACCGCGAGAGCCTGGAAAACCTCTGTGGCCATGCCAACGCTGCCAACGAAGTGGCTCGGCCGACCGTCAAAATGAAAGGAGCCCCCACTGGGGCTCCGGCCACCCCAAGTACCTTCAGAATGGCCCAGGGTACCTTCGTAACCTCTCTTCCAGCCGTCGGAAGTATTCCCTGCTTGAGGGCCCCACGTGCTCGAGAAAGTTCACTTCGGGTTTCCCCGCCGCCAGAGCAACTGCTGCCAGGCGTCGAGGAGGGGGGGGGGGCGCAGGGGAGCGTTGGCCACCGCCCGGGAGCCAGTGGTCTGAGCATCGGGGACGCCCGCGGCGCTCGCCTCGATTTCCCGCATGCTCCTTTCTGGTCGGAGGTCGCCAAGGGTGGTCCTCCTCCTCCTCCTCCTCCTCCTCCTCCTCCTCCTCCTCCTCCTCCTTCTCCCCCTCCTCCACCTCCTCCCCCTCCTCCTCCCCCTCCTCCCCGGAGATCCTCGGGGCACCCTGGGCCAGGGGCACTTCTACCAGCCCCCGACTGGAGCTTCGCATGCCCTGTCTGAGGACACCCGAGCACACGCACGAGTCGCCCGCCGCCGGCGCTCAATGTTGAACGCCACCAGCGACCCAGAATCGACGGATTTTGTCAGGAAGGGACAATTGCAGACACAAATCGTCGTCGATCGCCAAAGAAAATTAAAGGAAAATATGGGAAGTGGAGGGGAAGACGCAAGTCCAGGAAATATGAAAAAAATTGGGAGTCCTGGGATGTGTGTTTATCATTTGTGCGTCATTGGGTCCCTTCATGAACAAAGATCGATGCACATCGATTTTAGATTGGCCTAGTGGCGCAGGAAAACGGAACGGGGCTCAGGCTTTCGCCTGCCGCCGCTCAGGATCCAAAATATCGCCTTGGAGAACGCGCGCGCGCATTTCCGCCGGCGGCGAGACAGAGCTGGCTGCGCCAGCGATAGAGCCAAACGCGCGCGCCGAGAAGCGAATCGGCCAGCGCGCAAAGGCCAGCGTGCAAGATCGGGGAGAGGACAGCACGCACGCGCATTTTTTTGGGGTCGGCGGGGCGAGAGCGAACCTCTTCCGCTAAAAGCTAGGCGGGCTACGCGCAGCATTAATTAGGGAGACAGGGCGCAGGAAGGCGGGGCCTCAGGTGGCCGGGGCAGGCGGGGCCCGGGGCGCAGGCGGCGCCGAAGAGCTTGCACAGGAGAAGGTACGCCGTGGACGGGGCCGGGGGCGAAGACCCGGAAGGTGGCGGAGATGGCGTAGCCGTCAGCGGCACGTTGCGAACACCAGCCTCAAGCACAGCAGGGGGGGACGTGCCATTGACCAGGTCGACGCCCAGGAGGGAGAAGAGCATCACGAAGGCGATGAGCAACGCTGTGCCACCAGATGATGCGGAGGAGGCCCAGGAAGAAGAAGAGTACCACGAAGGCGATGTGCAACGTTGCGCCACCGGGTGATGCGGAAGAAGCACTGGGTGGTAGCCCAATCCAGCACGCACACACACAAACAAACAAACACACACACACACACACTCTCTCTCACACACACACAGACGCACTGTTGGTCGTCGCGGTCACGCGCGCGACAACACGACGCAGCTCAAGTCAGGCGGGGGCGCGGCACGGCCAGCTCGCTCAGCGTGGGGAAGCTGGATCAATCCGCAAGGGATCGACCGCAAAACTCGCGAGGGGGCAGTCGCCAGGGGCGGGCCCCGGGCGACAAGGACAGAGGGGAAAGAGAGGAAAAGAGGGCCCCGACACACACGCACGCTCACGCACACGCACACACTTCTTGCGTCGGCGGCTGGGCAGAGGGCGACTGCTCCGGCGGAAAGGCAACAGGGGACACGCTTCATGCATTTTAGGGCCGCGACGCATGGAAGGAGGGGGAGGGGCCCCAGCGCGACAGTGGGAGAGGAAGCCGAGCCACTCGGAGCTGCTGGCCACGCCCGGGGGGGGCACCGAGGTAGGGCGCAGCGCTGGAACAGGGCTGCGACGGGCTGGACTGAGCTGAAGCTGGGAAGGGGCAGCCTGGAGCTGCAGCTGTTTGTGGGGAACAGAACGAAGAAGAGCACGACCCACTGGACCGAGCACAGTCCAAGGATGAGCCCGCGCGCCGAGAGCCGCGGGTCTGCGAGGCGCGCGCAGAGAGACGGCAGGCAGAAGGGGGCTGACAGGGCAGCCCCGGCCGCGGGCGCCGCGCCGCAAGCGGCACAAGGGCCGGCACTGGGCAGCACTGAGCAGGACAGGGCTCAGGCAGGTGCTGAGCGACACCGAACAGAAGCTGCAGCCAAAGACGCAGAGCCCAGCCCACTGGACCAAGGCACAGTCCAAGGATGAGCAGAAGCGCCGAGGCCCGCGGGCCTGCGAGGCGCGGGCAGGGAGGGGCGGAAGGCAGGATGGCACCGCGCAGCGGCACGGAGCAGCAGTGGAGTGCTGCCCGAAAAAGACGGCGGTAGAAAGGGAAAGACGAGCGCCCACAGCCACGACCCGCGACAGCGGGAGCACCCCGATGTCGGCAACGGCGAGGAGCGCCGAGACCAGGCAGTCCAACGAATCCAGCAGCGGAATGAGAGACGGCCCAGCGGGGCGCAATGGCGCGGCAGCCAGGGCAAAGGAGGAGCGGAGCAACGCCGAGCGGGGCAGCGGCCCGAGGCGCAGGAAGGCCACGCCCGGCGGGGGAGCGGCGGGCCAAGTGAGGCGAACAAGTGGGTTCTGAGGCAGAGAGCCAACTGGGCGGCAACCGACAGCGGCGAGGTGCCGTGGGGGAAACACCGGCCAGACACCGGCAGCCGGCGCTGGGATGGTGGCCAGAAAGCCTGCAGGCTGATGGGGGGGGCACCGGCAACGTAGCGAGCGTCGCCCGGCCTGCGAGGCCGCGGGGTGCCACAGGAAGGGTCTGGGCAAAACCTGCAGATGGCCAGCGCCGCAAGAGGCAGGGGGCGCCGGCGGGGCAGGGCGCCCCAAAGCGAGCGGGAGGGGCGGTCCGGAGGTCACGAGCCGGCGGCAAAACCAGCTAGCTGTGTCAGGGCCCACCCAGACAGGGCGGCGGCGGTGGGAACTGGCCAAGCGCCGGCAGCCAGCGAGACCCCGCGCACGGGCGCGAGGGCGCCACCCGACCCGGAACCGACGCTGGCGGCTGCGGGAGAAGGCGAGCCCCGAGCGAGAGCTGGCAGTCGGAGTCCACCTGTCCGTGGGGGTGGGGGCGGGGACCGGAGGTCCTCGTGGAGATGGTGGTCCCGAGGTACGGCCATTGCGCTTTGACGCAGGAGTTCCCAAACGGGGTAGCGTCCATGATGTTTTTCACACACACACACACACACACACACAAACACACACACACACACACACACACACACACACGCGCGCGCGCACGCACGCACGCACGCACGCACGCACGCACGCACGCACGCACGCACGCACGCACGCACGCACGCACGCACGCACGCACACACACACACACACACACACACACACGCATGTGTGTTGATCGTGTGCGACAGTGTCTCTGGGTATGTATGGTCAGGCGTGTAGTGGCGAGCGACGCAGCCCAGAGACATCCCACGCGAATCAGCGAGCAGCTAGAAAACACGCGCGCGCAAAGACCAATTAGGCTCGACAAGGATATGTGCATTTATCTGGCGCTCTCTTTCTCTCTCGCTCTCTTTCTCCCTTTCTCAGCGCCCGATTCACTTGCCGAACACTACGTGACCGACATGGTACGCATAAGCTCTGCCTTCTCATTCTGCTCCTGGCACGCCTTTGAGACCTTTGCATACATTTGCCCGCTTGCCCTTCAGTCGAGACTCCAGCTGGGCAAGTCGTGAGTCTGCGTGGCCGCGCGGCAGGTGGGATTGCCTCACAGAGTGTTTCGCGGGACAGCGCGAGAAGAGAAGGCGGAGGTGCAGCAAGAGAGAAGGATACGGTAGGTTCGTATCGTGTCCACGCGGCGTTGACCCCAGCGCGGGCACTCAAGGTTGAACGCCGCCGTCTGGCCCTGAATCGGCCGATATCGAACGATCTGCGTTGTCGGACAGTCGCGATCACTCAAGGTTGAACGATCCACGCGGTGTCAGGAACCAACGCGCAGGTCGTCACGACACGAACTTGTCGTGCTTCTGTTTCCCCACGCCCCCTCGAAGAGGAGGAGGAGGGGGAGGAGGAGGAGGAGGAGGAGGAGGAGGAGGAGGAGGAGGAGGAGGAGGAGGAGGAGGAGGAGGAGGAGGAGGAGGAGGGACGAGCCCTTAGCAGCATCTCCGCGCTGCGGCGGCTGTCACAGGAAGCCCGGTGCATGATGTGGCCAGCCTGGGCGAGATGTTGGGTGCGCCCGTCTCCAGATGCCCTTCCAGCGCTCGGCCTTTCTCTGTGGCCGGGCACGCTCGGCCTCATCCCTCGTCGTCGTCGTCGTCGATCGTCGTCGTGGCCCTCTGTGGCCCTCGTCGTCGTCGTCGTCGATCGTCGACGGCCTTCCTCTGTGGCCCTCGTCTCCAGATGAAGGCGCTCGGCCTTTCTCTGTGGCCGGGCACGCTGGGCTTCCGCGAGTGTGCATCCAGCGCGTGGCCTTCGGACGTTCCATTCGTGAGCCCAGCCGTGAGTGCTTCCGGCGTCCTGGTGCGGTCAAGTCGCTGAAACAAGGAGCAGTTCGGGTTCGGAAGGGGCTCGAGGTTCTTTGGGTCCTTCCATGGCTCTTCCTGTAGCCCTCCTCGTGCACGCAACGCAGACGCTTCTGGTGCCAACAAGGGGGTTCGTTCACTATTTAGCGTTACTTATTTCAGCGGGCCCAGCTGTACAAGTGGGCGCCCCTTGACCCCAGCGGGCCCTACAAGCGGAGCAGCTGCACCCTCCCAGTTGGCGTCCGCTCTGAGCCTCCGACCCTCACGGGCAGGCACAGTTCTGCGTCCGATCGCCCTGGGCCCCCGAGGAGGACACTGAAGAGGAGGGGGATCGGCAGCAGCTGGATTTGTTTGCTTTCGGACTCCGCCGAGGAGCATCCGAGGACGCCCCGGGACTCAAAGAGAAGAGAAGCAAAAAGGGTGAACCGACTGGATGAGAGAGCTGGATGCACATGATGTGGCTGGCCTGGGCGAGAGTTGAATACACATGTGGCCGCATGTGTTTCCAGCGCTTGGCCTTCGTACGGTTGGATACGCCAAACCTCCGAATGTGCATGCAGAGCGTGGCGTCCACATATTCAATTTTTCCGTCGCAGCGCGGCAGAGGCAATCCGCACGCGCGTCCGAGTGACGCCTGGGCACGAGGTCACGAATTGGCCCGCATGCACGAGTGGGAGTAAAGAGGGCGGGCGGCCGCAAGGGAGGGGGAGGAAGGGCGCGAGGCCCGCTCACGCAGCGGGGCAGCGCTGGAGGTCGGGGCGCGGCCTGGCTGAGGTCCACGCTGGCAGCGGCTGCGGGGCGGCGTCGCAGCACACCCAGGGCGGGGCCCAGCAGCCACAGAGCGGGCGTGACCCGGGCAAGTGGGAGGGCGGGAGGCCGCGGCGGCAGGAGACCAGGTGGCCGGCGGAGAGGGGGGGGCAGCGGCGTGGGGCCAGCGACGTGGTCGGCCGGCGCTGCAGCGGCTGCACGGTGCCCCGGGCAATGAAGGGCCAGCGGCTGCGCGGGGGGGCGGCCAGCGCACTCCAGATGCCGGGCGAAGCGGAACAGAGGCGGAGAGAGAGGAGCGCCACTCACTAGCCGGTATACGGCATCACGACATGAGTGCGCGTCGCCCAGAGCTAGTGGCGCACGGCAAGCCCTCTGAGCGAGGGAAAAGCCCAGCCGGCTGACAGGGCTGCGTGGGCAGGGCAAGGACGGACCGCAGTGGCAGAGGCCCCCTAGGCGAACAGCGACTGCGATTGGGGCAACACCACGGGTGGCGCAGGGGCTGCAGCGCAGGCGCGCGCCTTGGGGGCGCGGTGCGCGGGATGGGGGGGCGGGCTGCCCCTGGCCGGTGCACGGCAACACGGCCTGGGGCGGCGGTGGAAGCCGAGCCGCGTGGCGGGCCGACCAAGAGTGAGGGGGGGACAGCGCCGCCGGCAGCCATCCACATATTCCACACGTGAATCCAAATACGTGCATTTCCAGTTTCTTGGCAGGAGGTGGATGGAGCAAGGGCAGGAGGAAGTAATGAGGAAGAAATTATAAGGTCTCCGCTCGCCAGGCTGTTAACCTCATCAGCTTGATCAGGGTTTCACTTTGGGGAGTGGCTCGCTCCCCCACTCACTCGCTCGTTTGGGCCTCCTGGGAGCTCCTCGCTGCCACGGCCAGATTCGCCTCGAAATCTTGGTCAGAATGCCCTCCAGGACAGGTCCAGGGTCCGATCTCGAGGAGCCGGCCTCCTGCGGATGTCACGAGCCTGCAGCTGGGCACGATGTTAGTGATCCCGTGTGTCCTCAGGGCCGGTCTCGCACCTTGCACCCTTGCCTGCTCGGACTTGTGTTCTGGCATGCCGCCGCTTCTGCGGTTGCTGCAGCATGAACTTCAAAACTTGAAAGGGTGTGGCACCTTTGCCATGCATCCGAACTCCGATGTGCGAATGCAGTCACTGGAGCTGGTAGTTGTATCCGGCTCATGATGATCTGGACGTCTCGGCGCAAATCCATTTTGTTGAATCGGTCGAACGGCCAGTCTCGAAATTTCCTCAGTGGGAGGTCCCCGACAACAGCGCGCCGGTGCTTGTTTCCAAAGCAGATGCCGATTCGGATGTTCGTTCCCGTTGGATAAGATCATGCGAAAAGGCGACATCGAGATGCAAAGCCGGCTCAGAGCTCGAACGAGCATGTTTCTCTTCTCCCGTTCCTTTCCTTCGCTCTCGTCTTCATCGGCCATCCCGAGTTAGAGCCGCCACTGATTCCTCCCACGACATGGCAAAAACTAATGTTGTAACCTTGAGTGTGCCACACTTCGCGTCTATGCGTGCAGTGAGGTGATCGAGCGCAAGACATTGCGCTCGCTGTCACATTGATGCATACACAAGATCCACCACTGGTGTGGTATCTCAGTTCTTGTGGGCCGCACACATTCGTTTTAAACATTTGCAAGAGCTTCAAGGATTGAGGGTGGGTGGTTTTCAAAATATGGCTCTCGCCCCAGCGCCACGCACATTCTGTTTAAACACTTGCAAGAGTTTCACGGATTGAAGGGAGCCCGTTTTCAAAATGTGGTTCTCCCCGTAGCGCCGCGCACACTCGTTTTAAACATTTGCAAGAGCTTCACGGATTGCGGGCGGCTCCTTTTCGAAATGTGGTTCCCGCCATGGCGCCGCGCACATTCGTGTCAAACATGTGCAAGAGCTTCCCGGATTGAAAGGGAACGCGTTTTCTAAGTGTGGTTTTTGTTTTAGCGCCACGTACGTTCCTTCTCAACATGTGCAAGAGCTTCACGGATCGAGGGCGGTTTCTTTTCAAGATGTGGTTCCCGCCTGAACGCCGCGTATATTCACTCGCGGTGCTGACGTCCCAAGAATGGCGTTCTGGCACGATTCAGGATCGTCTGAACGCAACAGCCAGGTTGATATGTGGCGTTGGAATCCCGAGAACAATGTTTTGGCATGTTCCAGGGACTTCAAACGGCTGTCTTCCAACGAGGTAGTTCCCTCAATGGAAATGAACCGTTGCAGGGGCCTCTGAAGAGGGAGCTTGGAGGGAGGGTTTATTCCAACATCGTTGGTGACCCTTGGGTTTACACTGGTCCTCCTCCTCCTCCTCCTCCTCCTCCTCCTCCTCCTCCTCCTCCTCCTCCAGTGGCCCCTTGGGCAGCAGCCCAGGGGCGCTTCTCGAAACCTTCGAGCAGCCCAGACTGGAGCGCGAGAGGCCCCAGGGGTGGCAGCGACTCCGTGCGACGACATGGATGGAAGCGGTCATGCAGTCGAGCACGAATCAACAGCGCGCCCAGGGGGGAAGGCAGAGGGAGGAGGAGAGGGAGGAGGAGGAGAAGAGAAAGGAGGAGGAGGAGGAGGAGGAAGAGGAGGGGGAGTGGGAGGGGGAGGGGCAGCACCTGCTCACAAGGCTCTAAAGGCCTCCAGCCTTCCAAGAAGCTGTCTGATCCTGCTCCAGAGCCACAGACAGCGTCTCAGAAGGCTGGGCTTCCTCTCAGAAGCCCCGCCGCCTTCTCAGAAGACCAGGAGACTTCTGAGAAGGCTTGTCCTCTCTCACGTCCACCCTCACCATGTTATCGGACGAGGCTAGGACGAGCAAAAATCCGTTTCAGAGAGTTCTGGAACGCTCTGAGAAGGCCGCGGCGCTTGAGACATCCTCCAGAGCCGCCGGATCTCAGAGATTCCCGATTTGTCCTCACCCGATGTTACCGTTGTCCCGATTTCGTCTCATGCTGACGGATGCCCTCTCCGCGAGTCCCCGCGCAGCCTGGTTCTCCACGGGTGAGCCCTGAGCTATCCCGCGTGGCTGCTGCGTGCGTGCCCGGCGCTGGCGCGCCTGCCGAGAACCTCCTCCTCCTCCTGCGTAGCCACTTTGTGGCTTAAGACACAATTCCGGGTCGCGGTACAATGTCGGACTGGGAATTATGCGAGCCCGGAGGCGCAGGCATCGTGCTCCCCCTGTTTGGGGACGCCGAGCAGGACTGGCCGAGGGCGTTACGCATCGTCCTCTATTTGCTCGGCCTGGCATGGTTGTTTCAAGGTGTGGGGGTGGTATGCGATAGTTTCATGGATTCGATAGAGCAGATCACTTCACGGAAGGAGAGACGGTTCGACCGCCAGAGAGATCGGTACGTCACCGTGGTGGTTTGGAACGCCACCATGGCCAATTTGACGCTCATGGCGCTGGGCTCTAGCGCCCCAGAGATCCTCCTCAGCGTGATCGAGACCTTCTCATTGGAGTTCTTCAGCGGGAAGCTGGGGCCATCTACCATCGTTGGCAGTGCCGCGTTCAATTTGTTGGTCATCACCGCCATATGCATAGTAGCCATTCCAGACAACGAGGTCAGACATATCAACGAGACGTCTGTGTACGCGGTCACTGCCACGTTCTCCGTATTCGCATACGCATGGACGGTCTTCGTTTTGAAGATTACATCCCCGAACGTGATTGAGCTATGGGAGGGGGTCGCTACGTTTCTCATGCTTCCGCTCCTACTAGTCCTCGCCTATGCGGCTGACAAGGGCCACCTGGACAAGTTCTTCTCCAAGACGGGGGTCCAGCAGCCCACTGAGCCGAAGGCTGTACTCGATCCCGGCATCTCTAGAGAGGACCTGGCCGAATTGGAGGCGAAGGTGCGCCAGACGCACTCCGCCGAGAACCTGTCCAGCAGGCAGGTCGCCAAACTCTTGCAGTTCTACTACGCGCAGCCAACGACGCGCGCCGGGTACCGACGCATGTCCAGAGTGAGGACGAAAGAGAGGCTCCCGGGGGGGCGGACAGCGGAACAACAGAACTCGACAACTTTCAAGAAGAACCGCGTGGTGCCTGTGATGGAGGGTATCAAGGCCGGGGCCATGCTGATCCGATCGATCCGATCCGATGGCGATTCTGGCAGGCTCGATCCTGTTCGATCCCGCTATTCGGGCGATCCGATGCGGCCCAATGCTTGCGTGGCGCTGTCGTGCATCCTGGCGCGGCCGATCTGATTCGATTCCGACTCTTTGCCGATGCGCCCCGACCCGACGCGCGCTCCGACCCGAGCCGATGCCCTGGCTCGATGCCGACCGCTCCTGCCGAGGAGGAGATGGTGGCGGGGACCGGCGAGACCGGAGACGCCGCCGCCGCCGCCTCACGCCTGGCCGCCGGCACGCCGGACTCCTCCAAGGATCGGGCGGCTGGTAACGTGGGGGGAGTGTTACGGGGGGTGAAGGAATCGTTCCAGTGCTCGCAAAGTGCCTTCTCGCAAAAAGTCTGGAACAAAAGCGTGTCTTAACCTCGATGCAATGGATCGTGGTGTCCCCGCGGAGGATCCAGGCCGTTTGCGAGTAGTTCCTTTGCGTGTAGTGGAACTCGTTTGTCCAAAGGAGCACGTTGACGGGACCCCTCATGGAGCGCCAGGGGCCCCGGTAGTAGGGGGGGGGTCCTTTCCTGCAGGCCTCGGATGTCTGCATTTGTTTTATTGGGTCCGCGGAAGCCTCGGACCACTCCTGGGGAACAGCTTTTCATCCTGAGTCGTTGTTTGACGGTCCTGAGGCCCGACGAGTGCCCCTAGAGGCCGAAAACAGTGAAATGAATCCGTCTCCAGTTGTTCAACACGTTGGGTATTTGGATAGCTTGCCCCTATATTGCCGACCGGCCGAAAGGAGGCGGCCCAGACGGTGCTGGACGTCAAGGAGCAGGAGGGAGAAACCCATACAACGCACACAAAGAACAAGGTGGCTTGATTCAATATGTGAAGATGTGTGAAACTCAGAAGAAGTGGAATACCCAGGGCATATGGAAAAATATAGGAATCGTGCCATTTGTGCCGATTTGTTTGTGTCCCCCTTTAGATGGCGAGTCACAGAAGGTTCCACTGGTCTTGGATTGAACGTAGATTGGCGAATAGCGCCGAATAGCGCCCAAACGCGCCAAGTAGCGCCGAAATAACAGCGCTCAGGTAGCGCCCAATAGCGACCAATAGTGAGCGCCCAGCAGCGCCATGTGGGGGAGATGCCTTACGTCCGCTTTGTGCGCGATTGGGCGCGCTATTGGGCGCCATTGGGACCACCAAAAGCTTTCGTGAGTTGCTTTCTAACTCGTGGGCCCCTTCCCAGACTTCGAGTGAAGCCGCTGCTCTGTCATGTTGACAGAAAAAGCAGACAAGGCTTCCATATAGCTAGCCACGGACAAAAAATTGCGCATGACCATGCTGCCCCAAGATTGTCTTGGGCGTCCTCGCCTGCGTGGGCCTGACGGGAGGTGGAGACACAATCCAGCTGGCTCGAAAACCGAACGTCGCACCGGGTCTTCGTCCAGGCGACTTGCGAGTTGCCCCATGAAGAGCATCTGTCGTTTCATGAGACTCTCGCTCAACGGCTTCTGTCTGGCCATGGCGAGAACTGCAGACTTGAATTCGGCTGACATACGCCCGCGGCACGCGGCAGGTTTTCTGGAGGCCACGGGCGTGGAATCCGTATAACCGTCTGCGTGCTCAGATTGTATAACAAGTTTGACACAATGCATGCGTCGAAAAGTCTCAGCTTGCGCGCCCAGCTAAGTGCGGAGTGCGCGCCCATCTGGCAGCTCAGTTCAGATCCAATTCTGCCGTCTTCAGAAAGACGGGTGCCCAAGTATGCAATTGAGCTCTTGCACGCGACTGGGGCACCAGAAGCGTTCAGAATACCGGCGTCAGATCTGATCCTCAGTAGCTTCACTTTTTGTCCATCCTGCATTGAGAAACTCAAACATTTGATGTCCCCAGATCCCCGACGTCATGATTTCTTCATTACGTCGACCCCTGGAGGTCTCGACCCATTCCCCCCAAACCGGTTTTTCCTCCTGGGTCGTTTCTTGACGGCCCCGATTCCCGACAAGGAAGGGCCCCCCGAGGCCGAAAATTATCCTGGCGAAGGACCCAACCATATGCAATTGTGAGTACCGCAGTTGTGAATATCTTCTTCGGTGGAGCCCCCTACGGGGCCACGAAACGTACGAGGGGTGTGCCGAAATGGGTGTGCGGGACGCATGCGGGCACACCCACTGGGGACTTCGGTGGAGCTCCGTATGGGACCACAAAACGTGCGAGGGGTCACGAAACGCGTGAGGGGTGTGCCGAAATGAGTGTGCGGGACGCATGCGGGCACACCCACTGGGGCCTTCGGCGGAGCTCCCCTTGGGGCCACGAAACGTGTGAAGGGTTTGCCGAAATGGGTGTGCGGGACGCATGCGGGCGGCAGCACTGGGACCTTGGGTGGAGCCCCTCTACGGGGCCACGAAACGTGCGAGGGGTGTGCCAAAATGGGCGTGCGGGACGCATGCGGGCACACCCATTGGGGCCTTCGGTGGAGCTCCCTATGGGACCACGAAACCTGTGAGGGGTCACGAAACGCGTGAGGGGTGTGCCGAAATGAGTTTGCGGGACGCATGCGGACACACCCATTGGGGCCTTCGGTGGAGCTCCCTATGGGGCCACGACACGTGTGAAGGGTATGCCGAGATCGGCGTGCTGGACGCATTTCCTATGGGGCCACGAAACGCGTGATGGGGTGTGCCGAAATGGGCGTGCGGGGCGCATGCGGGCGGCAGCACTCTGGGGCCTTCGGCGGAGCTCCAATGGGGCCACGAAACGTGTGAGTGGTGTCGGCGGAGCATGCGGGCGGCAGCACTGGGGCCTTGGGGCCACGAAACGTGTGAGTGGTGTGCCGAATTGGGTGTGGGTGACGCATGCGGGCGGCAGCACTGGGGCCTTCGGCGGAGCTCCTATGGGGCCACGAAACGTGTGAGGGGTGTGCCGAATTGGGTGTGGGTGACGCATGCGGGCGGCAGCACTGGGGCCTTCGGCGGAGCTCCTATGGGGCCACGAAACGTGTGAGGGGTGTGCCGAATTGGGTGTGGGTGACGCATGCGGGCGGCAGCACTGGGGCCTTCGGCGGAGCTCCTATGGGGCCACGAAACGTGTGAGGGGTGTGCCGAATTGGTGTGGGTGACGCATGCGGGCGGCAGCACTGGGGCCTTCGGCGGAGCTCCTATGGGGCCACGAAACGTGTGAGGGGTGTGCCGAATTGGGTGTGGGTGACGCATGCGGGCGGCAGCACTGGAGCCTTCGGCGGAGCTCCTATGGGGCCACGAAGCGTGTGAGGGGTGTGCCGAATTGGGTGTGGGTGACGCATGCGGGCGGCAGCACTGGGGCCTTCGGCGGAGCTCCTATGGGGCCACGAAACGTGTGAGGGGTGTGCCGAATTGGGTGTGGGTGACGCATGCGGGCGGCAGCACTGGGGCCTTCGGCGGAGCTCCTATGGGGCCACGAAACGTGTGAGGGGTGTGCCGAATTGGGTGTGGGTGACGCATGCGGGCGGCAGCACTGGGGCCTTCGGCGGAGCTCCTATGGGGCCACGAAACGTGTGAGGGGTGTGCCGAATTGGGTGTGGTGACGCATGCGGGCGGCAGCACTGGGGCCTTCGGCGGAGCTCCTATGGGGCCACGAAACGTGTGAGGGGTGTGCCGAATTGGGTGTGGGTGACGCATGCGGGCGGCAGCACTGGGGCCTTCGGCGGAGCTCCTATGGGGCCACGAAACGTGTGAGGGGTGTGCCGAATTGGGTGTGGGTGACGCATGCGGGCGGCAGCACTGGGGCCTTCGGCGGAGCTCCTATGGGGCCACGAAACGTGTGAGGGGTGTGCCGAATTAGGTGTGGGTGGCGCATGCGGGGCGGCAGCACTGGGGCCTTCGGCGGAGCTCCTATGGGGCCACGAAACGTGTGAGGGGTGTGCCGAATTGGGTGTGGGTGACGCATGCGGGCGGCAGCACTGGGGCCTTCGGCGGAGCTCCTATGGGGCCACGAAACGTGTGAGGGGTGTGCCGAATTGGGTGTGGTGACGCATGCGGGCGGCAGCACTGGGGCCTTCGGCGGAGCTCCTATGGGGCCACGAAACGTGTGAGGGGTGTGCCGAATTGGGTGTGCGTGACGCATGCGGGCGGCAGCACTGGGGCCTTCGGCGGAGCTCCTATGGGGCCACGAACGTGTGAGGGGTGTGCCGAATTGGGTGTGGGTGACGCATGCGGGCGGCAGCACTGGGGCCTTCGGCGGAGCTCCTATGGGGCCACGAAACGTGTGAGGGGTGTGCCGAATTGGGTGTGGGTGACGCATGCGGGCGGCAGCACTGGAGGCCTTCGGCGGAGCTCCTCCTATGGGGCCAAAACGTGTGAGGGGTGTGCCGAATTGGGTGTGGGTGACGCATGCGGGCGGCAGCACTGAGGCCTTCGGCGGAGCTCCTATGGGGCCACGAAACGTGTGAGGGGTGTGCCGAATTGGGTGTGGGTGACGCATGCGGGCGGCAGCACTGAGGCCTTCGGCGGAGCTCCTATGGGGCCACTAAACGTGTGAGGGGTGTGCCGAATTGGGTGTGGGTGACGCATGCGGGCGGCAGCACTGAGGCCTTCGGCGGAGCTCCTATGGGGCTACGAAGCGCTGTACTGGGTGGGTGAAACGCGGGGAAGAGGCGGAGGAGGGAGGAGGAGAGGGAGGAGGAGGAGAGGAGAGGAGAGGAGGAGAGGAGGAGAGGAGAGGAGGACGCGGGGACCGTCTCTTCAAAACGAGGACACAACACCACAGGATGGTTGGGAATTAAAAACATGTCCCGACATTCTTTTCTCATGACCCGATGGGGGCCTGCGTCTGGGTTTCAAGGAGCAGGACGCCGCTGGCCAGCGGCGCGCCCCCGACGCGTCCTCGGCCGCCTGGCCGCAGCAGGCTGGCACGGGGGAGGCGGGCGAGGCCATTTGCCCACCGGCGCCGCTGCCCCCGCAGCCGCCGTTGCCCGGGCACGCCACGCCGGCGCTGCCGGAGGACGGGGCCCAAGCTTCCCAGGTGGGGTCCGAGCAGATTTGGCCGCGCGCACATAGGGGGGGGGGGATACGGTAGGTTCGTGCGGCGTTGGCGCGCCGGCGACGCCGGCGAAGGCGTTCAAGGTTGAATTCTTAATTCTGCGACGCGGACGCACCGATGGACACGGCAACGCCATTGGACCCGACTGAATTCAACCTTGAACGGTCGGTGCCGCGATCGATTCAAGGTTTCACGATCGACGCGGTGTCAAAAACCGTTGCGCGCGCCGACGTCGCACGAACCTACCATAGGCGGAGGGGGGAAGGCTTCTTGATAAGGAGGCCGTTTCTGAGAAGGCACCGGCCCTACATCTGTGGACAGGTGCCGCGCCTTCCAAGGAGCAGCCTCCTTCTAAGAAGCCTTCCACCCTCCCCCTACCCCTGTGCGCGCCGCCAACAGATGGGGTCGGAGGATCGCGCCGCATCGCCGATACATCGGCGATGCAGCTCGATGCGAAGGCTGATGTTCGCCACGCCGACGGCGACGATGCATCGTCGACACATCGCCGATACATCGCCGATGCATCGCCGATGCATCGCCGATGCATCGCCGAGGCGTGCCGCGCTGGCTGCACGCATAAGCCGCCGCGAAATGTCTCTATGTCATCTCGCGTAGTACCCGTTTCTTGTCGTCGCTCATTTGGGAGGCCTCTAGTGTTCGAGGTTCGAGGCTTGAGGTTTTCGAACGTGCTCGTCGGTTCTGGGTGGCTTCCCAGCCTGCCCGGCTTTCGGGTCGTAAATCGAGCCTCCCGCGGCCGTTCGAGACCATTTGGGCTCCCCCGGAACGCCCTCGGCGAGGCGCAGCTGCTGGAAAGCACCACGAGACGGGAAACTTGCGGGAATCGCCGAAGCGTCAGAGAACATCGTCCCCCCCACCCCCCGCGCGCCGCCGAAAGGAACGTGCCACGCGGTGCCTTCAGCAGCTGCGCCTCGCCTGGCTGCTCCCGGAGTGCCCGGATCGTCCGGAACGGCCGCTGGAAGCTCGAGTTATGACCCAGAAGGTGATCGACCCTGAGATCCGACGTCTCGAGGAAAACGAGGCGGAGGGTTTTCCTTGTTTACGGCCTCTCGGGGCCCTTGCCAGGCCTCGGGGCCGTCAAGGAACGACTCGGGACGACGAGCTGGTCTCGGGAAGGTGGTCGAGAGGTCGGTGGCCCGTGCCTCGAGCACGTCGAGACGCTGGATTTGTGGGTTTGACCCTGAAGTCTGGGCATTGTAATTTTGTTCACACGCAGTGTTTTCGCGCGGCTTCGGGCCTCCAGACCATCAGAGACCGTTACGGCTCGCAAAATGCCGCAAACAAACGGGGCCCAGGGCTCTAGCTCTAGTCGTGAATTGTCGCGATGTCGTACTTCTTCGCAACGTCTGATCTGAGGCATCTTTGACGTCGTTCGATGACTTGGTTCCGGCCCGCTCGGTCCCATATTCGGTTTTCTGGAGATCCGACCGCTGCGATGTGAGCTGGTGTTGGCACGGCGTGGTCGTGCATCCCGGCGCGGCCGACCCGATTCGGTCCCGAGTCCGTGACGGTGCGGCCCGATCCGATGCGCATTCCGATCCGGTCCGAGGTGCGGGTTCGGTGCCGACTGCCCCGGGAGGAGGTGGAGCCGCCTCAGCTGCCGCGCCGCCCCTCGATGGCCTCCCCCGTCGGCTTCGAGCTCCAGCGCGTCGCGGTGATCTGGGGCACGCGGGCCGTGCGGCTGGGCGTGACGCGGAGGGAGGCTCTCGACGACCCGCTCTCCGTGGCCTTCAGAACCCGCGAGGGAACCGCCAAGGCTCGAGGAAGAAGAAACTACATCAGCAAAATCTGCCCGAGCCCCGCGCGGATTTCTTGGGCCCCCGGCGCTGGGGTCCACCTGGCGGCGCCTCCGGCGCCCCCCTTTGCGCGCTCCGCGCGCCTATGACGGATTCCCAGCGCCGATGCAAAGCATCCTCGCGGACCTCCGAAAGTTTACGTGTATGTTCCTCTCCTGCAAGAGGCGTCCATCGACTTCGTGCCCACAGAGGGCCGGCTAGAGTTCGCACCCTCCCAGGGCGAGGGGCACATACTCATCGAGCTGACGGCGACCAGGCCGTCGGGGGAGAACCAGGAGTTCCACGTGGACCTGCTGAACCCAGAAACCGACTTGCTGCTGTCCACCGTCAGCGTGGTGAGCCTCGTCGATGACGAGCCAGGGATGCTGCAGTTCCAGAACACCGCCATCAAGGTGGTCGAGGGGGCCGAGGATTCCGAAGTCGACATCGTGGTCGAGAGGTGCGACGGTTGTGGCGGCAAGGTCGGTTGCAAGTATCACACGGAGGATTGCAGCGTGTATCGTTCCCTAGTCAGCGTTTGCATTGAAGGTGTCTTAGGAGATTGAAGGAGTAGGCGAATGTGCGGCGCTGGTTTCGGTGGGTGGCCGGGTTCTTGGGGGATGCCGGTTTTCGGTTCCAGCATTCCAGTGCCAGGTTTCGGTAGGCAGCCAGGCTCCTGGGGGGTCCCGATTCCAGGATTCCTGGCAGCTTCAGGTCCCAGGGTTGTGGAAGTCTTGGTTGTGGCCAAGTGATCCAGAAGACGGGTCAGCAAGTTGCGAGCAAAGTTGACCCCAGAGAGTGGAGAGTAGAGATTAGAGAATATCTGAATCCCAAGTTTTTGCAACCGCGGTCAAAATGAGAGTGGACATTAGAGAGCAACGAATTGAGAGTGCAGAGCCGAGTGGCGCGGAGAGACTAGAAAGTAACTATTAAATCAAGTAGTGCGCAGTCAATCTGGAGGCAACCGTAAAATGCGTAGAAGGACAGAGAGAGAGAGAGGGAGATAGAGAGAGGGACAGAGACACGAAGAGAAAGAGAGAGAGAGAGAGGTGAAGGAAGTGAGCACGCATAGATGAGAACAGGGAGCACGTAGTCAAGCTGATGAAGAGGGCGTGAGGGGTACAGGGCTATGTTGGTCTTGGGCCGTCTAAGTGCCTTCTCAGGGGCCTCGTGGGCCGTCGTTGGGTGATACTGGTGGCCTCGTGGGGACATCTTGGCGGCCTCTTGGGGCGTCTTGGGCTGTCAGAGGCCAGAAAGAACGAGAGGCTACCAGACATTCAATAACGTCAGGAACAGCATTGACATTGGTTCCTTGTTGCGTTCCTCGGCTTCTTTGGTCTTGGCTCATTGTTGCGTTCCTCGTGATCATCGATATGCCTTGGTGTTGCTGTTTTTTTACCCACCCCAAGCAATGCCAAGCAGCGCCCAACACTGCACAGGCAATGCCATTCAATGCCAACCAAACAACGCACAGCTTCGAAAAAACACTAACACCTGACGCGCTCGCCCCCGAGTACATGGCCTGTGGTACCAAGTTGCGCGTGTGGGCCTGGTCAACGTATATTCCCGAGCAATGCCACGCAGCGTCCACCAATGTCAATCATCGCAGATTCCTCGGCAATCCTACGCGATGCCGAGCAATGCGAAGCAATAGACTCTTGGGGCCCATCCGCATTGGAGTGCATTGCACATTCCCCATCCACCGCCTGCGCATCGCAATGCCTGGGAGTGCATTGCCCCCTCCTCTGCCTCCGTCGCTGGCTCCTCGTTTTACTATATTTCCCTCCTTTCCCCTCTCCTCCTGACACACCCGGATCTAATTGCCAGGCCCACGTGCGAGGCCCGTTCCCCCCTGGCAGTGCAAAGCGATGCAAATCCATGCCAAGGAATGCACGGCATTGCCAGTCATTGCCAGAGCTTCGGAGGCCTCCAGAGCTTCCGGAGGCCTCAAGAGCGACGAAGATGACGATGCCGAAGAGGAGCTATTCGAATGGTGATGACAACGACATAGACGACTACAACGACGACGATGATGATAAGCAGGTTGATGAGAAAGACGATGGCGATGACGATGAGGATGCTGCTGTTGATAGTGGGCAGGGGGAGAAGTACGAACTGCGTCGTCACATGCGACACCTCTCGAATTCACTTCTGGGAACTTGTCGGGGCAGCCTCCAGATTGCTCTGGTCTCCTGTGGAGCAGTCGTGGGGGTCACTTGGGGCCCTCTTGAGCCGTCTTGGGACCTTTCCCGCCGTCTAGACGGTCTCTTCTGGCCGCTGTGGAGCCGCCTAGAGGCTGTCTTGGGTCGTCGACGGGCCCCGTCAGGTCATTCATCTAGGAAACCTCTTTGGCTGGTCTAGTTGGCACCGACGAGTGCCCGAAAATTGTGAAAACGCCACAGCTTGTTCTCCAAATGGCTGAGACTCAGTACGTTGGGCCTCTTGGGGTCCTCCAGCGACATTGCGGCAAAGCACGGTGTCGAACATTCTGATCATCTACTGATCGGTGTGTTTCTATTGTGTGTTATAAGTCCAGTTCTTGCTTATGGTCCATATCCCAAACGTGCAGATCCCCCAAGCCATTGCCCGTAGGGGTTCTTATGTTTGTTTAAAAGGAAGTTGGTTGGGTGTGCCGTGCCCGGTTCGTGGACGCCTGTTGGTATTTCGAGATGTGTTGAGTGTGTTGAGATGGGTGTGCTGAGATGGGGGCTTGGAGTTGTTCGCTGCGTGCTGGGGGGCGGTTGGCCGCGGCGCGTCCGCGGGCGTGGTTGGGGGGTTGGGATTTGCTCCCTTCCTTGCATGAGTGCCGGGGGGAGTGGTCCGCTCCCCTGCAAGGTGCGCCGCGCACTCCAGTAGGAACCCAGTTTTGTCGGTCATTCGCCGTTTCACCCCGTCCTCTCCCCACGCCCCCAGCTTCTCCTCCATTCGTCTCGAATTCCCATCGGCCTTCTTTTTTTCGAAGGTCTGGCTGGATGGATAGATCGTAGTTCTTTATTCTTGCATCCAGACCTGGAGGGGGTTGGAGTCAAACGCCCCCAGGGTTGGCGTGCAGGGAGGGGGCTTGAGAAAGTCCGCGCGCGAGCGGGGGGGGGGTCGGATTCGGGGGTCGGTGTTGGGGGGGGTGGCCGCGCTGCGTTTTCACGTTTATTGTGTTTTCTCAAAACAGAATAGGATCTACCCCCCCTCGGCGTTATCACTCCCCCTTTCGGGTATGTAAATCATATGAGATTCTGACCACATGTCCATCCTAAATATGAAATCACAATGTCCCAGGCCAACCGGTATCCCCCCCCTGAGGGTCCTTGGCAAAAAAACACTATGCGGTGACATTTTTTGTTCTAACATAACACTTTTTCGCGAATCCCTTGCAAAACAATTGACGAAGTGCACACGCGCGCGTCGTCGCGCGCGCATGCCGAAATCCTTCAAAAACCTTCGGTGCCGGAAGGATATCGCAATCGAGTTCCCCAAAAACATACAAAAACACCGGGTTTCGCAACACTGATTTGCTAAAAAAGCTTCCGCGCGAGCTCTTGCGAAATCTTAAGAAAACCATTGGTTTTTCAAGAGTTTCACAACATTCTATTAAACGGGCTTCGCGCGCGCATGTCGAAATCTTTCGAACGCCCTTGCGCGTGTGCCGTCGCGAGAATCCTCTGCAAAAAATGAGACGAAGTGCAGACACGCGCGTCGTCGCGCGCGTACGCCGAGAACCTTCAAAACCCATCGGTTTCGGAAGGATTTCAAAATCGTGTGTCCAAAAAACCTACACAAACACATGGTTTCGCAACACGGATTTTCAACAGAAGCGTGCGCGCGCGCTCTTGCGTCGTCGTCGTCGTCGTCGTCGTCGTCGTCGCCGTCCTCCCTCCTCCCGCGTCGTCGTCGTCGTCGCCTACGTCGTCCTCTGTCGTTCCTCGTGTTCGTCGTTGTCGTCCTCTTTGGCGTCGTGGTCGTTTCCGTCGTCGTTGTTGCCGTGGTCGTCCTTCCTCCTCCTCCCTCGTCGTCGCCGTCGTCCGTCGTCGGCGTCTCGTCGTCGTCCCTCCTATTTCTTCGCCGTCGTCGCCGTCGCCGTTGTCGTCGTCGTCTTCCCTCCTCCCTCGTCGTTGTCGTCGTCGGCGCCGCCGTCCTTCCTCCTTCTTCGTCGTTCGCGTCGTCGCCGTCCTCCCTCCTCCCTCGTCGTTGTCGTCGTTGTCGTCGTTGTCGCCGTCGTCGTCCTTCCTCCTCCCTCGTCGTCGTCTTCATTGGCGACGTCGTCGTCGTCTTCGTCGGCGTCGGCGTCGGCGTCGTTGTCGTCGTCGAAGTCGTCGGAGACGTCGTCGGCGTCGTCGTAGTCGCCGTCGTCGTCGTCGGCGTCGTTGGCGTCGTCGTCGTCGTCGTCGGTGTCGTCGTTGTCGTCGTCGAAGTCGTTGGAGACGTCGTCGGTGTCGTCGTAGTCGATGTCGGCGGCGCCGTCGTCGTCGTTGTCGCTGTCGTCGTCGGCGTCGGTGTCGTGGCCAAGTGTCATGTGGTACGTACCGTCACGGTCTTGTCTTAAGAAGTCTTGCGACCAAGTTGCGGGTGGGAGGGTGGGATGTTTGCACGAGCAGTGGAGAGGACAGCTTCAAGACAGTCAAATATTAGTCACCCCCCCTTGATTCATACCAAGTTGAGAGTACACATCCACAGTGCGAAGACTTACTATTCGGGGTCTACGCTGGCAAACAATGTAATGTGCGCCATGGCTGGAAAAACATAGGACTGCAGCGCCGTAGCTGGGGTCGACTACGAGGCCGCCGAGGGCGTCGTCGAGCTGGAGGCCCACCAGACCTCGGCGACCATCACTCTGAAAATCAAGAGGAGGGGCCGCTGTGAGCGCACCGACATGCTTCGGCTGGTACTCAGCGACCCCATCGGTGGCGCCCGGTTCGACCCCCGTGGCGACGGGGGGTCCGAGAGTTGCATAGCGTATGTCATTATCGAGCCAAACAAGGAACAGAGCGCACGCATCAACGGCATCTTGGAGGTGATCTCCAGCAATTGGCAGAAGGCCCATCCGAATCACAGCAGCTGGCGGGCGAAGTTTGTGGAGGCGCTGCAGGTGGACCCATCGTACGAGAGCGACGGCGAGGATGGGGAGCAGTACGAGTCCCCGTCGCCCTGGGAACGCTTCCTGATGTGGTTCACTCACATACTCACGCTCCCATGGAAGCTGCTGTTCGCCTTGGTACCTCCTCCAGGCTACTGCGGCGGTTGGGCATGTTTCTTCGCCTCGCTGTTCGGGATCGGCTGTGTCACGGCGGTGGTAAAGGATATGGCTGGCCTGTTGGGTTGCGTGATGCGCATTCCGGACGAGGTCACCGCGATCACGTTAGTGGCGCTTGGGACCTCGTTGCCTGACACTTTTGCCTCGAAGACGGCGGCCATGCAGGACCCTTTTGCCGACGCCTCCATCGGGAACGTTACTGGTAGCAACTCGGTGAACGTCTTCTTGGGCCTCGGCTTGCCCTGGATGATCGGGTCGTTGTATTGGGTCATCGGGGGCACCGACGCGGGCGTCGCCGAGTGGAACCGCAGATACGGGGGCAGCAACCCCCCGAGCTGGGCGCGCGACTTCCAGAGCGGCGCGCTAGTCGTGGAGGCAGGCAGCCTAACCTTCTGCGTCATGGTATTCACCTGCTGCGCCTTCGCATGCATCCTGATGCTGTGGATTCGGCGGGTCACTGTCGGAGGAGACAGGCGGCGCGCCAAAATGGGGCGGGGCGAGCGACTGTCAGCGCACGAACTGTTCCGCCAGTGGGGACGCCCGTTCCCCGGGCGACTGGGAATCTTGTGACACTACGGTGGCATGTGTGTGGGAATACACTGTCCAGCCGCCCTGGGGCAGGCGCCCCGATGGCGAAGAGTGTTGTGTTATGCTGTTTTTCGTCCGCCGAGGTTGGTGGGTGTCTTCTTTTTCTCATCCGACGCGCCGATGAGTTCCAGCCGACGGGTGCCAAGCTACTGGCCGCGTCAGCAATGAAGTGGCGCCTTTGCCTGAAGATGTGCACTGGGATGTGAGCCTCGAGCGGCGGGGCCTTCCCGGGCAGCCACGCGTGATCCCCACCTCCCTGCAGGCGGGCCATCTGAGATCCCCGTGGGGCTCCGCAGCTCGAGGGCCGTCCGGGGCCGGGCAGGACCCCGTGAAACACGGCTTCCCCCCTTTCGTTATGAGGGCGGCACCACGTGGCGCGTTCCAGAAAGGGCCTCGCCCTTCGGCGGGAGGCGGCGGAAGCAAAATTGCGCCGGCTCCGCTGGCGGAAACCGGCCGAAGATGGCGGAAGTAAGAGCCGCGTCAGCATTGTTGGGCTCGGGGGTCCCGGCATCGGCCACCCCGGAGAAGCCCATGAATCAAGAACAGCTTCTCCCCTTCCATCAGGAGGGCGACACCAAGTGTCGAGTATGGTGGGCAATGCGCCGAATAGGGGCATGGCCAGCGCAGGGTGAAGGACTTGCAGGGCCAGGGCTCGCAAGGGGGCGCCGCAGGGGTGAAGGGCGCGCAAGTGGCCGCGGACGTGTGGTGAAGGCCCCCTGCCTCTCAGAGAGGCTCGGGGCGAGTTTCTCAAGCGTGGCGCGGCCCCTTCCAACACAGCTGGCGGGTTCCTCAGAGGACGTCGCCTTCGGCTCGCCTCGCCTTCGGCGGAAGGCGGCAGAAGCAAAACGGCGGCGGCTCCGCCGGCGGAGGTAAGAGCGAGACGTCAACATGCGTGCATCCAGGGTTTCTGGAGTTGGCCAGTTGGCACAGCCCTTGCCTTTGAGGGGTAACCCTTACCAGCGGCGAGCGAGGGGCGGAAATGAGAAGGAGAAGGCCTTCTCAGAAGGCGGCGGGATTTCTGGGAAGCCCTCGCGCCTTCCGAGAAGTTTCTTGTGTCTTCGGGGAAGGCACAGGAAACTTCTCAGAAGGCCGCGGGGCTTCCGAGCCTTCAGGCCCGCCCCTTCTCACTTCGCCCCCGGGCTCGCCGCCGATTATGTCACTCGTGCTCGGGCTCTCCACCTTGGCATGCTCCTCGCTCGGTGCACCTCCTCGGGCCTTGGGGCAGGGGCTCATGCTCCTCTGGCCTGCGCTCTCGTCGCCGCGCTTCGACTGCAAGCGCCCTCGCGTCCTCACGGGACCGCCGCCCCCCCGCCCCCTTCCGGCGCGCCGCCGAGGAGAGCTCGGCGGGCCGGTGCGCTTGAAGTACGCGTGCGCCGCATTCCTGCTCCTGCTCTGGGTGCTCTTCGTGGGCCTCTCCTCCTTCGAGATGCTGAGGGCCAAGTAGCGGCTTTTTCCTTGCGGCGGACGGGGGGGGGTCCTCCTTGTGTGCCGTGGTTGCCTCTGCTAGTGAGCTTGTTCTCCTTTGATGTCCTCGCTCTCCTTCTCCTCCTGCTCCCTCCCTTCTTTCCTCCTCGTGGAGCAGGGTCGAAGAGGGAAGAAGGGGAGGAGGGGGAGGAGAAGCAGGAGGAGGAGGAGCAACAGAGGCAGCAGAAGGAGGGCGCATCGCAACAGAGACAGCAGAAGGAGGGCGCAGCAGGAAACTCTTTCTCGACCCACCGATTCTTTGAGCATGGACAAAGAAGGATTAGGAGGAGGAGGAGGAGGAGGAGGAGGAGGAGAACGAGAAGGAGCAGGAGGGCGGCGGAGCAGGAAGCCCATCCTACTCCTCGTCCTCCTCCTGCAGCAAATGAGGAGGAGGAGGAACACGAGGAGGAGGAGGAGGACGAGGGAGAAGGAGAAGCAGGGAGTGGAGGAGGGAGACGCAAGAGGTGACTCTTCCTCCTGATCTTCCTCCGCCTCCTCCTGCTCCTCCTGAGTGTTCCTCTCTTGTGCTTGTCTTCTTTTCTTCCTAGGCCAAACCCTTTGTGACTTGGAACTTCTGGGCGCGCTGGCTCTCAGGTGCTGCATCCTCGTGAAGGAAAGCGGCGCGTGCGCTTCCCGTCCCCATCCGCCCCTTCTCCCACTCATCCTCATCGTTGTCACCACGATCATCGTCATCACCCGCATCATCGCCATCATCCGCAGCATCGTCATCATCCACATCCTCAGCAGCATCATCATTGTCAGGACCTTCACCTTCATCTTCGTCTTCATCATCGTCATTCTAATTCTCGCCCGTCCTCCCTCTTCATTCTCGTCTGCCTCTGCCTTCTCCCCCACTTATTCCTCCTCCCCTATCCTCCTTTTCCTCCATGTTTCATCCTCTTCGTCTTCCTCCGCCGATCGTCATCGTCATGATCAGTTGCAGCTTCTCCCGCATCATTCACCTTGACCTCTCGTCCTCCTCTTCCCTTGTCTCCTCCTCGTCGTCCTTATCCTCATCTTACGCTTCCTCCTTCTCATCCTCTTCTTGTCCCAGTATCTTAATCACCCAAAGGAGCCTCAACCACGTGTTATTCCCCTGCCTCCTCTGCCTCCTCCTCGCGCAAGTAATAGTATCCCGTGGCTAGTGTTGCCCTCATGTTTGCGACACACCAATCACATCACAGTCGGACTCCGCTTGGACAACTGAACTCGGTCCTTGCTTTATCGCAGACAGCAACGGTATGGCTGTTGTTGCACAAAGCTTGCTGCCCTGCATGCATGGTGCACCCGCACGGTTCCACGACATGGAAGCATCGATCTTTCCCCCAGGGGCAGGCCCCGCGAGGGACCCCCAGAGGGCAGAACCGACGAACACTTTCCGCATTGAATTCCTCAATGCGTCGGTTCTGGAGAGACCCCCTCGCGCCGCGGCCCGATGGTGCTCCTGTCGCTCTGCGCCTCCGCGCCGCCGCGGCCACACCCGCAGCCACCGCGGAACGCCGCGCGGGCGCAGTGGGCTGCCGCGCAGCCGTTCGCGGGCGGCGGCGCCGCGCTGCAGCCGTCGCGCGGCGCCGCGGCTGCCACGCCGCGGCGCCCGCAGCCGCCGCGCAGCGCCGCAGCGCCCGGCACCCCGCGCGCGCTGGTCGCGCCGCCGCCCGGCGGCCGTGCCCGCTCGTGGGCGCCGCCGCCGCCGCAGCCGTCGCGCTGCGGCGCGGCCGCCGCCAGCGGGGGCAGGCGGGGAAGGCCTCCTCCTCCTCCTCCTCCTCCTCCTCCTCCTCCTCCTCCTCCCCCTCCTCCTCCTCCTCCTCCTCCTCCTCCTCCTCCTCCTCCTCCTCCTCCTCCACCGCCGCTGGCCAGGGCCATCCTGGGTGCGGGGGCGGTGCGCAGGCCTCCCTGGCCGAGCCAGAGGGGGCGCATACCGCGCTCCTGGACCCAGGATGGGCCTGTCCGGCGGTGGTGGATCGGAAGTTGGGGGGGGGGAGTCCGACGTGGAACGGAGACCCCCCCTACCAGGAAGTCGACTTCGGTCTCGGGTTCGCGTCGTGCGTGCCGTGCGCGCGTGCGGGCGAGGCGAAGCTGCGTGGGCGGGCGAGAGGAAATCCTCCTGTGGCTGGGCCGCGGCCGGACAAAATGTTTCTCCTCTGGCGGCCGGTGCCGCGCCGTGTCCCGTGGTGTCCCGTTGAGTGAGATCGATACTGAGATCGATGTGGTGCCCCGAGGTGTCCCGTGGTGTCCCGTTGAGTGAGATCGATAGTGAGATCGACAGGTGTCCCGTGGTGTCCCGTGGTGTCCCGTTGAGTGAGATCGATAGTGAGATCGATACTGGAATCAATGTGGTGCCCCGTGGTGTCCCGTGGTGTCCCGTGGTGTCCCGTTGAGTGAGATCGATAGTGATATCGATAGTGAGATCGACAGGTGTCCCGAGGTGTCCCGTGGTGTCCCGTTGAGTGAGATCGATAGTGAGATCGATAGTGAGATCGATGTGGTGTCCCGAGGTGTCCGTGGTGTCCCATGGTATCAAGTTGAATGAGATCGATAGTGAGACCGATAGTGAGATCGAGAGGTGTCCCGTGGTGATCCGAGGTGTCCCGTGGTGGCCCGTGGTGTCCCGTGGTGTCCCGTTGAGTGAGATCGATAGTGAGATCGATAGTGAGATCGACAGGTGTCCCGAGGTGTCCCGTGGTGTCCCGTTGAGTGAGATCGATAGTGAGATCGATAGTGAGATCGATGTGGTGTCCCGAGGTGTCCGTGGTGTCCCATGGTATCAAGTTGAATGAGATCGATAGTGAGACCGATAGTGAGATCGAGAGGTGTCCCGTGGTGATCCGAGGTGTCCCGTGGTGGCCCGTGGTGTCCCGTGGTGTCCCGTTGAGTGAGATCGATACTGAGATCGGTAGTGAGATCGACAAGTGTCTCGTGGTGTCCCGTGGTGTCCCGTTGAGTGAGATCGATTGAGTCAGATGTTGGATCCCCCTCCCTCCCCCTCCCACAACCTTCTCATCACCCGAAGGGTGGTCGTATAGATATTCTAGATCTCGTCGCCGTAGGAGGGGCGCGCGCGCTGCGCCTTGTGCGTGCGGGGCGGCTCCGGCGATGTCGGGGGGACAGACCAACGGCAAGAGCACACTCGCCGCCATGGTCAGAGGCGGGCGAGTTGAGGAATCGGTAGTTCTCGGCGGCTTTCCAGCTTCGGGGTAGTCCTCGCCAGTCTTCTAGCTTCGGGGTGCGTTTCAGCAACTGTGCCTCACCGAGAGGCGTCCGGCGGTGCTTGGATCGTCCCGAACGGCCGGTGGAGAGCCAAGCTATGGCCCGAAAACCACCAGTGGCAGCATTCGCGGCGGACAGTCAGATGAGTACGAGTTGAGACAACGGTAGTTGGCCTTCGGGCAAGGCCTCGTCGCCACGGCTGGACGCAGCTCGGAAAACTTCTGCGTTTGGACCGGCGTCTGGGTCGCGACTTTGACCTGTCGTTGTTTCATCTCGCCCTGCTCCGACATGAAGCCAGGGGGCCCTGAGGGAAACAGGTCCTGGAGGTTTTGGCCGCTAGAGGGCTTCTGGGGACCGCCCGGGACCCCGGCACCGTCAGAAAAACATTCGGGACGAAAAGTACGCCCCATGGGGCGAGCCCCGGGGTCCAGGACCCGTTTCCCTTAGGGCATGCGTCTTGCATTCCGCACGCGTACACACATACACACACTTACAATTACAATTACATTTAAGCTTGAACTTACACTTACACTTACAGATACACTTACACTTACACTTACACTTACACTTACACTTACACTTACACGTACACTTACACTTACACTTACATACACACACACTTACTTCACGAGCGGAACAGGGACCTCCGCGCACGTACACCGCACACTTCCGAAAGGGCTCACGGACGAGAGCGTTCGCAGCACGAGCGTTGCCTCGCGAAGTGTGGGGGAGGGGAGACACCCGTGTACGTGGCTGGGTCCCGAGCTTGGGAGTCGAGGAAAGAAGCACGGGGACCATGACCAAGTTGTCGCGGGGTCTCGTCGATGCCGATCTTGGTCACGGTCTATGTCGGCCGTCGGCGAATCGCGAGGACGCTCCACAAATTGATGCTGACCAAGATCGATGGTGACCGAGATCGACACGACGTTTCCACATTCAGTATTGGCCATGGCCCCCCAAGAACACTGTTCTTCCCCTCCAGGGAGGTCCGCGCCCTCTCAGAAGGCTCGGAAGTCCCCCAGCACTCTGACACAAAAAGCCTCACGGAAGGCCGGAGGCTTTCCGAGAAGCCCCGCCGCCTTCTGCGAAGGCCTGCTCCTCCTCGTTTCCCCCCCTCGCTCGCCGCCGGGAGGGGGGGGGGGGGAACCCGCGTGCGTGGCCGGGCCCCCGAGGCCCGCGCGGGCTCCTCGGGTCGGCGCTGGGCCCCTCGCCCCCCCCCCGAGCGCACCAAGGGGCCGGGGGCGCCAGTGCGGGCGCCCGGGGGCGAAAGCCGAGCAGCCTGGCCGAGGCACGCCAGGGGGCGGCGCCTCGGAGGTGCCAGCCCGAGGCGTCTGCGCAGAGCTTCCCGGGGGCTCGGAGGTGAGGGCTTCCGGAAGGGGCCCGTGAGGAGACCCAAACCTCCCACGAATCAGGGAATCAAGGCGGAGGGTTTTCGCAGCTTCCGGCTTCTAGGGGCCCCCTCGCCTGGCCCCAGGACCGTCGAAAAACGGCTCGGGACGAACAATCGGCCCTGGGGAAGGGGTCGGGACTACTGGGGACCGCGTAGTAAAAAACATCGGGAGGTCGCATACCTGGGAGGGCTCCCAGGTTGAGGATGAGCTTGCACTGTTTTCTGGGCCTCCTCACCTCAAGGCCCCATGTCTCAGGACCCCGTCTTTTGAGGTGCCAGCCTCGGAGAGGTTGTGCCAGTGCCGTTGTTCAGTCCCTCTGCGGATGTGCCTGCGCGGCGCCCCGAGTTCTTTAGCGTCCCGCTGACGCCCGAGTTCGTAGCGGTCGGCATCGTGTATTTTGCGCAGGGCGCGCTCGGCCTGGCCGCGCTAGCCAAGCCGTACCTGCTAAAGGACGAGCTGGGCCTGCCGCCCGCAGAGGCGTCCATGTCGGCTCGGACGAGAGAGGGGACAGGGGACAGGGCGGGGGAGGAGGATGCGAAACTTGCTCCATGCAGCTGGTTTCGGGCCGTTGAGCGCATCCACCGATGGATGGACGCCTCTGGCGCCAGGAGGCGCCAGGAAAACCATGATTCGCTGACCCTCCCTGTACTAGCCCTCCCATTCGTCCGGCCCGACCATGCTGCTGTCCCTGACCTACTGGCCTTGGGTCGTGAAGCCAGTGTGGGGCTTCATCTCCGACACGTTCCCCCTCTTCGGCTCGCGGCGGCGCGGCTACCTGCTTCTCGCTGGCCTGGTGAGTGCCGCCGGCTACCTGGGGCTCGGGACGGGGCTTGCCGGCGCGGACGGGAAGGAGGCCACGATTCTGCTGCTAATGCTCGGGAATTTTGGCATCGCCTTCAGCGATGTCGTAGTCGACGCCCTCGTAGTGGAAAAGGCGCGGGACGACGACCGGCTCATGGGGAACCTGCAGTCCTACAGTTGGGGTTGCCGTGCGATCGGGGCCGTGCTCTCTGCGTAC